AAAGGAGTATGATCTTCTTATGCAATCCTGTAGTCACTCTCCATGCATTGTGCGAATTGAGTTACCAGGGGGTAATTACAATGCCGCCGAACCAAACTCCAAGCGACTCAGCGATAATACCATCAGAAAAGTGGCTAGCGGCCTACTATACAACGGTTGGCACAACCTCTCATCCAAAGCACATGCCTTTTGGCTCGCTGCTGGGAAGCGAATTACTTACCTGCATGTACACCAGTGCCTTAGACCTTATCAGCAAAATTTCCGAGTTTCAGTTTAGGCGAGGAACGAGCGCTTCGGATCTCATTTTTGTAACCGAGACTTGCTTGCAATCAGCGGTTACGGACGCCGAGATCGCGATCTTACTAACAGTGGAAGTGGTGCAATTCTATACTATGGCAACGACTTATAATGCGGGTCACCGATTCGCTATGGTGTCTTTTGCGTCTCAGATACGAAGACAACTGCTTCGTGACAGGCGTTTATCGCCCACTTAGACCACTTCAGAGCTGGATTACTGCCTAATATCGGAACTGGCAAACGCCTGCTCCACACTTTATTCGCTTACAGGCACGCTCTAACCCCAGGCGATTTCAATGTACACGGCCTGGACGCCTAGGCATCGCCAGCAAAACATTCACGGTCGAACTGTGTTACATCCGTCGATGATATTGATTAGTTAGTTCAGCCGCAGCGCGTTCATATTGGATTTTTTCTCATTGAGCAATCAGTAGTTCCTCACTCGTGCCTTAACTCGTGTTTCATGTGAGCTATATCGCACTACTTCGCCCGATACACCATCTCGTACTGTGTCTTGTCCTTGCCTAACTGCGGTCTGTGGGCGTGCTTTGCTTGAATTCGTTACTACGTATTATTTGCGACGGGATCCAAATAGACGCTATCATTAATCCACCTGTTAACTTTTGGTCTTCCGTTGAGGACAAACCGACCTTATCAACCTGGATGTTGGAAAAAATCATCCATTAACTACCTGGAACTACTGCCTGTTTTGAATCCTATGGTTTCACTTTCGAAATCCCACAACATACGACTATTCGACAAGTGTTGGGAGGTGAAGACCAGTGACATTATGATACACTACATGTAGAAATTTGCGACAATATAACATCGGCCTTAGATGTATGTGTCACCCTGTGGAGATTGAAACGGAATCTTCCTACTGCGAGACACTGCTTTTCAAAGCTTGCACACAAACCGAGCGAAAGCGTCATGGCCTTCGTTGCACACATCCATCAGTTTATTTCCGAGTGTAAATACAAGGAAATTCCGCCCGGCAAATTTGAGGAAGCAATGAACACAATGCTTAATTGCGAGGATTCTGGACGAAAGTGCATGGGAAAATTGTTATCTTTGAACGAGTCAGACACCAAGTGAAAGTATACTCGTCTAATTGTTCGCCAAAGGGAGATAATCTCGCACTAGCTATGTGAATTCACTGCCCATCCAGTCGTCGATGCTGTTCATGCAGTTGCTAAACCACGGACTCCAGGTGAACCTCGAAAACAGTTCGTGTGCTATCGTTATGGGATGCAACATGCTCGTGTTTCTGAGTGTCGCCACAAAGAAAGCATCTGCCGAAAATGTGGTAAAATAGGCCACCTAGCCCGCGTGTGCAGATCGGAACCCACCCCACTGATTAATCTCACTCAATCGAGGCGCCATAATAAGCTGCCGCTTACGGACAAAAACGTTCTGGAAGACTCAGACAACGATCTGAATTCCGCCTACTTGAATACCATATCACCCAATAAGTGCCCTTCATAAACGATTACTTTGATGATCGAGAATTAACCGATTGATTTGGAACTGGATACAGGGGCTGCAGTTACCATTATGAACAGTGCTTCATTTATGAGTCTGCCGCTCTTACAACCATGTGACTCAAAATTTCAAACCTACATACAGGATCAGATTAGTGTTTTGGTAAAGTGCATAGTTAAAGCCAGGCTTAGCGAGCGGGAATTAACTATAACTTCGATCGTGTTACCTGTGAAAAGATCAAATCTCTTGGGCAGAAATTGGATCCGATACTTCCCATAAACGATGCAGATCACTACTGTCATGATCAATGACAGCAGTCTAAACGATCTGTTGAACCAATTTTCTTCTTTATTCGAAAAGGAGTTGGGAAAGCTGAAACATTTCAAAGCCTCACTTAATCTACGGGAGAACACCAATGCCATGTTTTACAAAGCACGATCATTACCCTACGCCATGCGCCCAAAAGTTGAAGTAGAACTACAACGGCTACCATCCGGAGTCGTAATCACGCCCGTACGGCACCCGGATTGGGGTACCCCAATTGTTCCTGTACTCAAATCCAGCGGGGCCGTCCGTATCTGTGGTGACTATAAGTTAAATGTCAATCAAGCCACCAAGGTGGAAAAGTATCCTTTGCCACGCATCGACGATTTGCACGCTACGTTATCCGGTGGTCAAAAGTTTTCTAAGCTTAATCTTAGTCACCCATATTCTCAACTTGAACTTGATGAGCACACGCGAATTAACCACCATGACTACACATCTTGGACCGTTTCAGTATACTTGTCTTCCTTTCGGAATAAGCTCCACCCCCAGCATCTTCCAGCGGATTGTGGATGACATCGTGAATGATATACTCTTTACTTGTGCTTATTTGGATGATATCCTGGTTTCTGGCCGAAGTGATGCTGAATATTTAAAGACACTTCGGACGGTGTTGGAACGTTTAGAATCGAATGGTTTGAAACTAAAGGAATCTAAATGTGAGTTTTTGTCTGAATCTCTTTGTTAGCTTAGCTACGAAATTGATAAGAGAGGTCTGCATGTTTTTCAGGATAAATTATCCCCTAGTATACAGGCAGCGCAGTCTAAGAATGCTGAGGAACTCAGATTCTTCTTAGAAAACTTATCACACTATCGTTGTTTTTTGTACCGGGGCATCAACTATTTTAGCTCCTTTGAACGCACTGCTACATAAAAACACCACGGGGGTGTGGAATGATGAGCATCAGTCCGCTTTCATTCGTGCTAAAACCTGTTTAACATCCGCGCCAGTTTTAGTTCACTACGAGAAACAACCTCTGATCATCAAGTATGATGCTTCTCAATACGGAGTTGGAGTAGTTTTAAGTCATAAAATGCCGAATGGTGCAATTCATCCGATTGCTTTCATTTCGCGTGCCTTCCAATCTGCAGAAAAAGTTACAACTTGATCGAGAGGCCCTATCAGTTATCTTCGGTATCAAGAAATTTAACCAGTATATTTGGGGCCGTCATTTTGAGATCCAAACTCATCACAAACGTTGATATCCCTAATGGGTGAATCCAAGGGGTTTCATCAAATGTTTTGATATAGAATGCAACGATAGGCCTTACTTCTTAGTGTGTATGAATACAAAACCTCTTGCATCCCGCGCTCTAACATTTCAATGGTTCAATGGTTCAACCGGTTCACTGGCGGCGTTCCACGTTCGCAGTCTAAGATGAATAGGTCAATAGGCTGCGCTCGCACGGACGTTGGACACGTTGGGTTTTGACGTGTCCGAAACTGGGATCAGTGTCGCTCACTGCACCCGGTATGTCCTCTCGCTGTTGCTTGCACGCGTCCGGGGACACTGATGCGGTAACCACTAGTCAATCTGGCGTGGGCATTGTTCTCAGCTCCAAGGTTGAGTCATTATTGGTTGATTGGATTTCGGTGAACAGCGGTTTGTGTGGAGTCCATTTGACGACATCAACTAAGGTTAGTTCACGAAGCAGTATTAGAGGCTATTTGTTTGTGGTTTCCGATTTTTCAGCCACAGACTGCAGTTTTGATGCCGTTGACGACTCTCTCTACCAGGAACTGAATATGCTACTACACAGCGCTATCATTCCAGACATCACAATTGTTGCAGGGGATATGAATGCGATGTAGGTTATCTGAGCTCTTCAGGTACTCAGCTAGGTGGTAAGTATAGACTTAATTCCGGCCGTACGGACAACGGCGAGCGTCTGTTACAGCTGTTTGCAAAGTACCGGCTGTTACTTAGTAGCACCACTCTTAGACACAGTGGGCGCCGCAGTGCCACTTGTAGTCCTTCTGTAGCTGGCCAGCGGTAGACCCATATAGATCATATTTCCATAAGTTACAGGTGGCGTGGTTCCATTCTGCATTGCCGCTCCTTCTGGGATATTTGCGTTGATTTTGATCATGCTTTGGTACTATGTCGTTTTCCATGAACTAAACTGGGAATCGTATCAAGCGCCTCCCTCGGTTATCTCGATCCCCGTTCAAGCAAAGCAGCCAGGATGTCCTGCGTACAGAACTTTCACTCTATCGTCCTAATGACAAGTTCAGCAGAATAGGATCTCAACAGCCGTGCACGATACGATAGACTCTGCTTGCGGCTCTACCGATGGTCATCACACCATTTACTGGATATCCGAGAGGTCGGTGAACCTGTTGGAACCCAGAACTGAACTCAAGGGTGGCTCTGAGCCCAATGTGACTAGACGAACTACTAAGCGCGAAATAAAGCGGAGCCTGGGTTCTGACAAGGAAGCCTGGTGAAGCGGTCGGGGTGATAAAATAGAGTAGGTAGCAGCAATTGGCAAGTATCGCAAGTTCTTCCAACTAATGCGTGCCACTATCTCAGAAAACCGGGTGTCAGTGAGAAAATCAGAGACCTCACGGGTGCCCTGATGCACAATAAGAAGCGCCGTATGGCTCGTTTGGTGAAGCACTTTCGAGAGCAGTTCACTTGTCCTCTGCTCCCGAACCTCTTCTTGCTCAAGTGTTGAAGCCTGAGACATAGCTGGTTAGTTTAAAGCCTCCGTCGGATGCTGAGACCCTAAACACGGTCACAGTCCGTAAATCACTTTCGGCTGCTGGTCCGGATTCCCTCACACCCGCACTATTTACGTATTGTGGTAAGGTCCTCTGCAAAGCACTGACCTCCCTGTTCGAAAGAGTCTGGAAGGAAGGGAGCGTCACGGCTAACTGGAGTGAGTCGATTATAATGGTAATATACAATAAGTGTTACTGCACCAAATATGCTAACTACAGGGATATTAGTCTAACACCGGCGGTGACAAAGTTACTGGCCTCAATATTCGTTCATCGCCTCACCGAGAAACGGGGATCTCGCATTAGGGAAGAGCTAACAGGTTTCCAGCCAGGAGAACGCTGTATAGACCACATATTCACAGTGCGGCAGATGCTAGAGCAGCGCCACACATACCGCAGATCGACAATCACTGTGTTCCTCGACTTCACCAGTGCGTTAGACTCAGTCAATCGACGCATTCTGCACGAAATACTTGTGCGGAAAGGTGTTCCCATAATATGCGGGAACATTTTACGTGCTCTGTACTCGAACACTACTGGTGGCGTTAGGGTCTACGGTGATTTGTCAGATGCGTTTCGGACAACAATTGGCGTAAGTCAGAGTTGCCCAATTTCCCCATTTTTGTTCAACTTCGGCGTGGACTGTATTGTAAAGTGTTCGTTTGCGGAGCTTCACGATGTAGGCGTGGAGGTACTGTCCAGTGAAAAGCCAGTTTATCTTGTTTAAGTTGCCCAATCAAGCCTGAATAACCTCTCTAGATTGGTCTCATCATTTGGCATTCGCTTCGCACCTTATAAATGTGAAGTGTTGTTACAGAAACACCAGCCACGTGATGACCCCTTGACGCTTGATATCGAGGAACTCGAGGTGGTTTATCACTTCACCTACTTTAGCAGATGTACATCTGATAAGGCTTTCATCCCAACAGTCCACAAGCTACATAGCAGAGCCTAGTCCGGAAAAGCGCCAGACGCGTTTCGCCCTATTGGGGCTCGTCAGTGGCGCGCATTCCCTCGGTCCTCTAAGGAGGATCGAACCCATGACCGCTAGAGGCAGATGCCAACTAGCCAGCCGCTTAAGCCACTGGGCCATGGGGGACGTTGGCTGGGCTACATAATTTGCAAACTAGCTGGGATATAGCACCACCTATCTACCCCTGTCACTGACAATGGTTAGCCTGCAAGGTGATGACGTCCTCTCACTAGACGCTATATCTATAGCATTTGAAACTAGGAGAGGCTTTTGATTTTATAATACTCATTAGTAGCAGATGTGTCGACACAGATGGGCGCATAAGGACTGAACTCCATTCACGCACTGCAAAAGCTAGAAATGTGTGGTTCAGATCTCTGGAATTTTTGACATCTGTAAGGGGTTTAAACCGATATGAAAGATCGCTTATAAAAGGCCACAGTGAGGGCCGTCCTACTTTTTGTTAGTGAGATTGGGTCCCTCCGATCTGAAGACCTGTGGTGCCTACAAGTCTTTGATCATCGTTTTCGGCAAAGAATTACTCATGTCGGATGGCACCAGCTTGTCCGCAATGATGATGTGCCTAGGCAAGTGGTAGGCAGTGATAATCATGCTAGTTTCTTAGACTGACAAATGGCACTGGGTCCGTTGCGTTGGCTTGGGCACGTACTACGTATGCCGAGTCACCGCTTACCGAGGGCGGTCTTGCTTTGCTTGCCAGACGTAGGGTGGAGCAAGGCCCCAGGGGGCAAAAGGTAACTTGGCAGCAGGAAATGAAGACAGTGACGACCAAACTGGGTGCCGTTAGTCTATCTGGCATCCCACGTGACTCACCTTGTGCTTGGCTCGATACATTAAAGGACATGGCTCGCAATGAACAATGATTTATCAAGGGCAAAAAGCATGTGCTCGACAAGTCCTGTAGGACGGTTGAAGTACAAACTAAAATTTAAAGAATCATCGAATAAGTAAATCATTAGTTTAAGCGTCTATAAATTCAAATTCACTACTGCACAAAGATAGTTTGAAGTGGGAATGGGTGTGTACACATAAAATAGTATAGAGTGCGTTATAGTTCAGTAAATGCGTGAGAAAGAAAAGAAAGGAAACGACAACACTCACTCGTGTGTTGCTTCATTTGACAGATGCGGTATGCTAATCCAGTTTAGATACATCCAGGATACTTACATGGACACTTATGCATGTATCCGCACCTCCACGTCGCGGAGAGGGCCGTTAAATACATGGTTAGTTTTGCGTTGTTTCGTCCTCCAAGTGAAACGGACTATATCAAGTAATGCAAGTTGGAAAGCGTTTCATCAAGGCGTTTTTTGAATAGCGTTAATGTAGGGGCAAGGATAACGTGAGCCGGAAGGGCATTCCAGGCACGGGACACACGGAGGGAGAAAACGTTGCGTCGACAAGCAAGTCGACTGTAGTGCGCAGCCAGTTTGAGCTGATGACATCTCGGGTTGGTATTTCGGCTCAGCTGCAACAGATTGCGACATGGGTAAGTTGGGTTCGTCAATATTAAGTAGACCAGAATTAGGTCTCACCGCTGACGTCGATATTCACCACTGTACAATCTCAGAGACTTCAGTCTGTGTTGACAGAAGTGATGGAAAATCCTCTAACGAGTTTGGTCGATCTACGTCGTGGAGCTTCAAGTGCATCGACGTCGCGCTTGCGCCAGGGACGCCAGACCTGGATCGCATATTCCACGTGAGGCCTCAGGTAGGCGTTCAGCAGTTTCGGAAAGATTAATGGCCCAAAATTCTCTAAAGCTCTCCGTAAGAGTTCAAAATGTTGACTGGCACTTTTTGATACGTTTTCAGCCTGTCTCGAGCAACCAAGAAAGTACTGCACCATCATCCTGAGGTCGTTTTCTTGAGAAGCACGTTGTAACTGCTAGTCCCCAAGTCGATATTCATAGATAAGCTGATGGCATATGCTTACGACTTTGCACTTCGTCATGTTGAACTGGAGCCGGTTATCGGATGACCACGCGTAAACCCTGTCGAGATCGCTCTGCAATGTCATGTGATCAGCAGATGTCTTGATATCATGCCAAATTTTGACATCCTCTGCAAATACTAAGAAATTCGACTGCAGTGCACTTGCAAGATCTTTAATGAATGTTAAGAATAAACGTGGTCCCCGTACCGATTCTTAGGGTAAGCCACACTGGACGTCCATTGGGTCAGAAATGGAGCTGCGAACTGTCACATTCAGCTGATCTTGAGCAAGGAAGCTGGCGGTCCAACCGAGTATAAGGTCACCGATTCCATAGCTTCGAAGCTTGTGAAGGAAAATGCGGTGGTCCAAACGATCGAACGCTTTCCACACCACTGGCGTGTCTGCTGTCGTCTAGTGGGAAAGTGTGTTTGGTGATGAGTCATTTACAAGGTGTTGGCTGATGATGACGCGGGACAGTGAAAGTCGCAAGGAAGCTGTCTCGCTGATACTGCTTTATCTTTGCCGGATAGCCAGCTGTTTGTGAAGACATGTTGTTGACAGGGTGTAGGCTTCTTGATCTTGAATGTTTGCTCAGCGAATTGAAGTTTTACTCCAGGTCCCCCTTCTCTCCCTCTTGTTGCTCTTTGTTCAGTAGGTCACCATGGTTGTAGGGCAACTAAGCATCACTTCAAACGGCTGATGTACTGCTGTTGATGATGTGCGCTTGGCTAAACAAAACGTCTGGTGACCAATTTCAAACATACACGAACACCAGGATGAGACACTAAATGGTGTCGAACGTGCGTCTGAACGAGGCGGGCACGATGGGTTTAGGACAACCTGTGGAAGCGTCGCAAAGGATAGGTTCGCTCGTATTTTGCAAAGGGACGGGCTGCACATGCATTGAATCGGACTGCAGAATGTGTTAGAGGACTTCGTCTTGAGTCTGAGCCGGTGGCATGGTGGTAAATCGTGAATAGTGAGGTTGACGCTAGAGAGCGCTGGTGACAGGGTTGGCGACATCTGAGGTGTGACGTAGGTCAGCGGTGAACTGCGTGACAAAATCTGGGTGTCAAGGTTCCCGGGGTGAATATTTGCCAGGAGATGAGTTCAAGGCGCAATGAGAGGCTTGTGGTCAATGTAGATCGTGAAAGCACAACCTTCTGATATGTGACGGATGGCTAGGCAGATAGTAAGCAGTTGTTCATCAAAGATGATGTGGCCGGATGCTATTTGTTACAGACGTGCTGCAACGCATAAAAAAACTTGCCTAGGGGCACGCCAGTTGAGCCAACGGTAACGGATGGACGTCGTTCCGGAGAGCTATCAGCCGGCTATTGTGCCGCAAAAAGTTATCTTACGCCAAGCAAGTGAGATCATGGTTGGAGGTGGAGGCTAAGCGGGAGGAGAGAAACAAACAGACTCACAACATAAACGCTACTGAGGCAGGTTTCTAGCAATGTCAACCAGTGTATCCAGCCAGACATGTTTATCATAGCCGTAGACTAGGCTTTTGATTACTTATTACAAATCATTTTCTATCGGGTAAGTGGCCGAGCGCGCTGAATTGACTATGTTTTTAAGGTCGAGACGTTCGATGAGGAAGAGGAATGGTGGGGCAGACTTAAGCGGCTGGATCATTTGATCGGCACTCGCTGTGGGATGTAAATAAAGCGACGGTGCGATAAGAAACACAAAAGATTCAATAGCTACTTCGATTATCGGTTTACAGCTGTAGTTAATGGCTCGTCGTATAGATCTCGGAGTTGCCCCTCGTTTGAGACCACAAATGTTGATGTGCGGCTTGGGGTTCGGAGACTTATGCGCATTTATTTCTGTGGGAAGGTTGCAGAGTCCGCGACGTGGAGATAAGAGGTTGTCCCCACAGGCCACATCCGAAAGTTGGAAATCGATGAATAGCGCTGTAGTAGCTGGATCGAATGAGTGTAAGTACAAGTCTGTGTGATGAGTAAGAGACCGGGGGAATGCGGCTACACCATTGGTTGAACAAGTTACTTCTGAATCTCCAGACATCATAAGGTCAAACGATTGTAGTGTATCTTGGGCGCTGCCTACGTTTGGATAGAACCGGAATGTAGGTACCACTACCGAGGCACGCTTATGGTGTCCAGTGTGGGTTTTTGTGGTTAAATGTAAGTGGAGCAATTTCGATATAAAATGGTTGGCGATTGAGTCAGGTTAGGGAAACGTTTGGTGAGGAGGATAGCTACGACAGTCGCAGCGTGCACCATGGTACGTTTTAAACACGTATAGTGTGTAAAGGATGTTACTATGAATTGTGGTTTCAACCTACCAAATACAATCTAGTAAACGATGACTCAGGAGCAATCGCTATTGTTGAATAGATCTCGCTTTCTTCTGTTTTAAGATAACCTCATAATATATTTTCACATGTAGATTGGTTATGCATGCATCGCAAGTAAGTTGATCGAAACATAGCAAACATTAGACGGAGTTACCAAAACCTAACTGCTACCTCGCCACGTTGGCTAATGAATGTGCAAAGGCTGCAACCTCCGAACGACCATTAGTAAGCAAAAGAGATGAATGCGATTGAATGGCCTTAGTGTACACTAAACACTTGATTGCTAAGTCTGGATAATTCTATTTGGGGAATCAATTTGTCATAGTCTGTCGTTTAGCTCAGGCTACACATTACTAACGGTTTCATAACAGAAGGAGCAGTTGGACATTTTGGTGACTTATAAATGGTATTTTATTGTGTTCTAGTAAATCTAAATAGTATTTTACCGTATTTAGTATTCATGGACTGCTATGCCAGGGTCACGGGATTTTTGGCTTTCATATAACCCATTCCTGATGTAGTGTTAACGACTAACAGGAATGCGCAAAGGTAACGTTGTGTGACTACCATTTTGAGCAGCTTGTGCTCTCCGAATGAGAGGCATCACTTTCGTGAACGTTAATGCCCAAAGCGAAACTTTTAAATAAAAGCATAGTGGTATTTGCTCGAATGTCGTTTACTAAACTATGAGCTGAAGCTAAAATAATCCATGTTATTGCCCATGTACCTTTGTTCACTGACATTTATCATGCCTCAGGTTACGGCAAAGTTTCTCCGGTGACAAAATCTGGAAAGGTATTCTGCATTTTCTTTGCATGTATCGCGATCCCCATCACTCTGGCATTCTCGGAAGCTCTGGTCAAGATTTTCATGGTACGAGTGCGCATATGGCGGGAACAATTTGTGGGTCGGCTCTACATGTCACAGTGTGTGCGCAACAACTCGGCAAATTTAGCTCCCACGAATATGTCACATGACCAAAGTAGCGTTGCTTGGCCATATGAATTAACACAAGCAACCACGAATTGTCTCAATAGTCATCGTAATTCAGCGGAACAGACGGTACAGTTCAGACTTGAAGATGAACAAGGCAACGAGCCATGTGATTCGAGCGGCTTTCCAGCGCAACGAAATGCATTCGGGATGGAAAGGTTAGTGGACGGAAAGGTGACACACGCGGGCGTTTGGAGTAATAGACAGTCCTGGAGTTGTTTTGTTTTGATAACCATGAAAACTAAACCCCTATTCGTTTACTAACCGTTAGTATGGAAAAGCTAGGTAGTGCAGAATTTGTCTGTCGTAGATGGACTTATAAAACGTTATAGAGAGCAAGCTTATAGGGTTTGATATATTAAGGAATGTATTAGCAGAAAGTGGATGGACTAGTGTTTATCGAACAAATACAGCGCAGGTAACTAATATCCGCAAATAGGAGAAGCCAAATCACTGTGTGCAGAACCAGTTATCGTAAGATTCCTGAGCGACGGAAGAACAGAACGTAGAAATCTGTTAAACACTGAGATTACACACGCTGTAGTCACTCCAGGCGATCGAATGCAGTCACAGTACTCAGAGGCACTCACATGGGCTCAGAAAGAGTCACCTGTATTTAGAGGCGGGTGAGGAGCCATTGGCTACTTTGACACGGATTGGCATGGGGTACTATACCATTTTACACGCATGTTAGCGCATTGTACCAAGCTTTTAGCGTGGCACATTTTCGAAATCGCGTGCAGTGCTTTCAAGTTAGCGAGTTTTACCTCAGTCAGGCATCAAAATAGAACAGAAGTTGGTGCTCGACCAATTTCATTGAACTGTCTGTCGGTTATGCTGTGAGCCTCCAACCGGTGTCCCATTGGGTAACGTTCCAGGACCAATGAGTGTCAACAACGTCAAAACAGCGTTCTTAGACTCGTTAACTTGAAAGCACTGCACGCGATTTTGAAAATGTGCCACGCTAAAAGCTTGGTACAATGCGCTAACATGCGTGTAAAATGGTATAGATATCGGACACGGTGGAACAGTTTGGAATCCAGACAGTCACGTGCAAGCCTCGCGATCAGCCGACAAGCATGAGTCATTGCAAGTATGCATGCGTGCCGGGGTTCGGTTACTAACTCAGCCACACTATCATATTTTCTATAAATTCGAATACTTCTTACGCAATTTTGCACATCACCTTAGTGGTTTTGAACTGTTGTACGGTTTTAATATGGCCTGTAGTAGCTTCTTCGTTTTGCTCAGCTGGTGTTTTGATGGTTCACACCTGCATCTTTTGATTTAACCATCACCGAAATGCCTAAGCAACAAAATTCGCTCTCCAAATTTCCTCGTGATAATTCCGTATGTTGACACTAAATCATTATTACGAAAGTCAAATCGAGGCACCGTAAGGACGCTCGAAGTGCTCGCGACGTGAAAAGAGCTGTAGAGTTTGTTGTTGTTGCATACAATGCGATACTAAAGTAAGAAGTTGTCGGTAAACCCATCTAGTTCAAATACATTTGGAAGATTCGCTGATTTCATAGCGAATTCAAGTGTTCTCCTGTAGTTCTAAGCAATATCGTTGGAACAAAGGTTATGTGATGCTGGTCTCAAATGTCAGCATTTTGTTGAGTCAAGCCACTGCTTCACCTGCGTGGCACAGAAAGGCGTACCATTGTCGTCATAAGAACTTGTGATATTCCCTCTCTGCTGAAGTACCTTCATAACGCTTTTATGGTAGACTCAGCAGTCATGCTCCTAGTTCAGTGTGTTTCAGACCATCAAATATTCGGTGATCACGATCAAATGTGCTCCCAATGCATCGCATACCCTAGCTAAAGGTGTACTCACTTGAACAATGCAGACAACTGCTTTCGGGTCTTCCAACACTGGAACGCTTTTATAAACTCAGCAATGTTTGCGTTTGGGCATCGTATTTACTTCCCCCTACTTGTGTACATCAACGTGCCACATTAGTATGTACTCATGTGACGTAGCAGAATTAGATTTCTAATCGGTGCTAATGGGTGACTAATCCGATTCGCCTTCATAAGATGTATTACCCATGACCACTGTTAACCGTCTTGCATGGTAAGATTTAACTTCCGCAACCTTGCAACTAATATATGTCGTTATCCTGTCGCTCCGATGAAGGGTGTTGTATTGAATCAGCATGTACATCCCACACGGTTTCAATTCCAGCCATGTCCATTGTGTTAAGGTTGTTAAGCTTAAGCTTTTTACCTGTCATAAACCACGGATGCATCTTACATTTGGGTTACTTCTCGCAAACGTACCCAATAGATGATGATAACAATGTTTGTGTTCATCAAAGTTTCAATTGCTAACCGCTTTGTCACAGAAGCACAGGTAAAGATGGCCATGGTTTTTGACATCATGGGTTACAAATGGACAATAGATACGAAAAATTTTCGCAGTTATTATAGAGATATAAATGTGGATGTACAAGTAGTGTAAATGCCGCTGATCTGAAATGGAACGGACGGTCAACAACGCCATCATTCTTCAGGCTGTTCGACTTGGACTGCGAGCGATACAATCTTGCAATTATATACTGAATCTGAATAAAACCGTAAGAAGACGAACACTGGTAGATGTCAAGTTTTCGTATTGTCTCTTCAGTGCTAACATAGAGTCAAACGGGAACAAGTTAGAACAGAGTGGAGGGAGGGCATGACAGCCCTATGCCTAGGACAGCCGTAGGCTTAAGAACAACTTTCTGCACACAGAGTGCGGGTTTCATACGGCTGATCGCGACTGCCTCTGCGAAACGTAGGAAACGGGCGTTAGCATGTCTTAGCACAACTTTAAACATTTTGGCCGGAACAAACAGATGACAGGTGGCCAGTAAATGTCTACCTATGGATGAAGCGGGTGGTCTAGGTGAGCAGGTGGTATGAGCAACCGACGACTAGGTGATTGAACGCTGCAATCATTTAATGAACAGTGAGTTATGCCGAGTAAAAAGTGGTTGCTTGACAATTCCCACATGATGGTGGGGGTAAAACTACAAAAGCAAAATATGTGAGTTGTCTGCTTGAGCGTTTATCTAGCAGATACGCAGCTGAGTTATAGTAGTGTAAGTTTGAATTGAATGCGAACGAAGAGGCAACATGGGAATAGCTATAGTTGATATACTCCGTGCGAAAAGTAAAAAACTCACTTCTGTACCACTCCTCGGGTTTACGTAACATGTTAACTGGTTTGAAGGGATAAGTGATATATTCCAAAGTAGCATAGTTTAGGCAACGGAGTGATGGGGGCCAAAGGCAAGATGCAATCGTTTAGTAAAAATATCCAAGGTGGGGGAGGAAACCACTAAGTTTGGGAGAGAGCTCCAGGGTTGGCAAACGCGAAGAAAAATATGATTCCGTAGGCATTCCAAGCGACTATAGTGTGCACTAAATTTCAGAAGGTTACCTTTGAGATTGGTCTTATGGCTGTTTCAGAAAGTGACGGCATACGTGATTAGGGTAACTCAATATTTCGTTGACTAATATGAGATCGCCGTGCAGCTTTCGGTAGCGGCCACTGAAAACCCCCAGTGACTTTAATCTTTGATGGTATGACCGATTTCGTAGGCTCTTGAAGTTCTTTGTGGCCCTGTGTTGTGGTTTCTCTAGCACTTCTGAGTCGCGCTTCAACTAAGGTTGCCAAGCTTGGATGGCGTATTCAACATAAAGGCGCACGTAATAATTGCACATCATGAGGAAGATGAATGGGTCGAATCTTCCGAATGCTCTCCGCAGCAATCCGACGTGCTGGTTGGCTCTCTTCGCAGCTGCCTCTGATTGCTGTGAACAGTTAAGGTCACTTTGAATGAGCACACCAAGGTCGCGTTCTTGGGAAGTTGTTTGCAATATATGTGATCCAAGCCTGTACACGTAGTCATGCCTATGGCGCAATTGAATAGCGTGGCATTTGTCCACATTGAACGGCAGTTATTCTGAACTGACCAGTTTGAAATCGTGTTGAGGTTACGCTGCAGCTTTTCATGGCAGTGTGGTTCTCTGGTCGCTCGCCATAACTTGATATCATTCGCGAAGAATAGGAAATCGGAAGTAATTTCCCTCACCGGATCGTTTATGGAAATCAAAAATAGATGGGGCCGAGCACCGAGGCTTATGATGGGCCCCCCCAAACTCAATTGCGTCGAACAGGGATTTTCGTACTCTCATCTCCAACCAACGTCCTTGCAGGAAACTGCCTACCCAACGCAGCAGTGGGTTACCAATGCCATAAAACTGAAGATTATGGAGGAGAATTCGGTGGATCAAACTCTTTTGAGGAGTCCAGGTAAATGACCTAGACTCCTGCTCCCCCATCAACTGCTTCAGTCCAGCTATTGCAGATTCATGCAGGCATTTCCCTTCACGAATTCCAATAAAGCAAGAAGCAACGACGGATCTTTCCACTTCTTAGATGTTAACTTACAGAGAAAGCCAGATGGTACACTCGTCCGCTGTGTGTACAGACAACCAACATGGACAGGACAATACTTGAACTTTAATAGCCTTTGCCCAATGAACTATAAACGAGCTTTAGTACGTACCACTTTTGCTAGAGCTTGTCAAATTTGCTCATTAGACACAATCGAACGTGAACTAGAACGAATCACCTCGACACTTCAAGAGAAAGGGTACACCGCGCGATTTATAGCACAGCACGCGAAAATACGATCCGGAGATAACCCACCAAACGATGTCTCGAAGAAAAAAGTATTCATTACACTGCTGTTCAAAGGAGATCAAGTTGACCGAAGACGCCGACATCGCCTCCGTCAATCAATTAAGAAGTGTTACCGTGCGGCTGAGCTACTGGTATTGCATCAAGTCAGAATGTTGCTCTGTAAATCCAACCTGGACAGACTGGACTCTCAAGATATCGCCTCATGAATTTACCTCTTTCATTGTACTTGCGGTAGCAAGTACATAGGCCGAACTGAGAAAAGTTTGTCAGCGAGGATTGCAGAGCATGTTCCGCGAAACATGATCGCTAAGGGCCCGAAGCTACCGACTAGCCCTATTGCCCGCCACATACTTGACTGCTCTGAATGCCAAAACCTACGTGGCAATTTCAGGTTAGTTAGCAAACAAGCCACTCCCCGCTTACTACAGTTTGCGGAGGCAGCAGCAATTCAGCGGCT